AGGCTGAAAAATAAGTGATGTTTACTAAAACAATAGGAAAAATACCAGAATCACAAAACTTAGCACCCTGTGTACCGTGCTAAGTTTTTATAATACAATTTCACAATTGGAGAAAAGGAAATAAACACAAAAAGAGCAATTTTAGGCAGACCCACCTAAACAATAAATAAATTAATTTTATCAAAAATGTCAACTGGATAATAAAGTACATAGGCATTTTTTCAACAACAACAACAAAAAACACAATAAACCAGTTGTTTATACTTTTAAGTAAGACGATCTTACAGCATATTATTTTAGGCCTGCTGTGCAAAAAATATTTATCTTCATAATTTTGTGTAACAACTCATTATTTATTCCCGATTGGCTCTTGGTTCACAAAAGACAAATAAATTGGTGCTCCAGGCTATAAGTGCGGTTTCTTTAAAAATGAACGTGATTAAAAAAATAAAGAAAAACACAAAGTGTAACGTTTCTTCCAAGAGACAAAAGAAATCTTGGAAAATTTATTCAAGTCAGCGCTGCTCCGGCTCCAGCTGCAAAAATGTAGATTTGCCTTTTTGTAAATTATGTATACAGTTGCATAACAGCGTTTTCAGTAGGCCTATTTATTCACAATTTACAAGATTTTACAACAACAGGAACAAATTCAAATTACACCGACTCACATGTTTACAAGCATCAAAACTGGAAATCAATTTAAACTGTAGCCTGTAACTTTTTTTTTCTTTCTCCACACCGCTCTGCATTTATTATACGCTTCCCTGTTTAAAACATCCTCCAAACACTCGGCTGCTGTCTGTAATTCCGCCGAAATGTCTGAGGATAAAACCAGCTTTAAATTGCACCAGCCTGCACGGATTCCCATTGAAACGGTGTCAGAAGTTGGCAAATCTGAGGCGCTTTCGGACAAAAAGATCCATCACTTTTTTTCAAAATAACAATTATTATTTTAAAAAAAATAATAATAAAAAGTTCAAAGTGATTGCATTATTATGACTGCAGCCGCCTATAATTTACAGTCCGCCAGCATGTGGAGTGGGAATATTTGGTTGTGTTGTCAGTGCTTCCAGTTCATATGGACGTTTTAAATGTGCGTGAGGGGAACCGTCCCGTTGACCGCGGCGGAGCCCCCGCTCTGGTAGTGCTGCGGGTGCAGCACATGCAGTCTGCTTTGAACGGAGTCGCCGCCCGCCGCCTCGCCAGCGGGCAGATACATGCTGATCATGTCCCGCAGGTCTCCCGTGGGGCACGGCGGCGGTGCGCGCGCCGTGGAAACGGGCGGGCTGACGCTCGGCTCCGATTTCACGAGAGAACCTAGAGTCCCTCCGATGGCCCCGGACACGGGGGAGACCCCGGAGCTCTGGTGCTGGTGGGTATAGCCGGTGATGCCGCCGTAGCCCGGCGGAGAGGCGCTCATGTAGCTCTGCGAGTTCGAGATCGGGCTGTAAGACAAAGCGCTCATGTCATACCTGTGCACCGGCTGCGGGTTGTGCGGATGGTGATGCGGGTGGTGGTGGTGGTGGTGCGGGTGATGGTGCGGGTGAGCCCCGCTGCCCGGGTGTTGGGTGTACGCCAGCTGCGCCTCCTGCATCATGGCGTGAGCCGCCGCCGCTGCGGCCGCCACCTGACCCGAGTACGTCCCGTTCGCCCAGCCGTTCACATGCGACGCGTAGCCCGCACTGGCCCCCACGTGTCCCGCACCGGGGCTCTCCAGCCGCTGCCCGCCGCCCATCCCAACACCCGGCGACGAACCGAGGAGTCCGCCGGCAAGTGAATACTTGTCCTTCTTGAGTAAAGTCTTGGTCTTCCTCCGCGGGCGGTACTTGTAGTCCGGGTGTTCCTTCATGTGCATGGCCCGGAGCCGCTTGGCCTCGTCGATGAAGGGTCTCTTCTCCGCCTCGGTCATCACCTTCCACTCCGCGCCCAGCCTCTTGCTGATTTCCGAGTTGTGCATCTTGGGGTTCTCCTGTGCCATTTTCCTCCGCTGGCCCCGGGACCACACCATGAAGGCGTTCATGGGTCTCTTGATCCTCTCCTGGGGGACCTTCCCTGCGGGCCCCCCGCCTCCTCCTCCCGCATGTCCCCCCGGGTTCGATGGGTTGGTCTGGGGCACCACGGGGGAATGCAAGTCCGTCTCCATCATGATGCTGTACATTCACCTCGTCTTTGTAGGACAGAGTCAGACAGACAGAAACATTCAGCCTCCAAAAACACGGAGGGAAGAAGTGACTGAAATCCACTCAGAGCTGAAACTGCAGCGTCTTCCTCCTCCGTGTCATCCGTGGAATGGGGAGGACTTGTTGGAGCGGACTTTGGTTGAAGCTGAGCCTCACTGGGAAAAGTTACCGGTGCGTGCCCGGGCCGCGCGCTCTGACAGCAGCTAAATGAGCGCACGGCGGCCAATGGAGAGGCGCGAGCGCAGACGTGATTTGCATGCGAGGGGCTCGAGCTTCTGGTGACGTCTGAGCGCGAGACCTAAAAATGACTCCCTCTGTCATCGCTTTTGCGCGTGGAGCTAGAAAAAACACGACACGAGCGGGTCCAAAAATGAGTCAGGAGGACTGAGAGATTTATTTAATGGATCAGTTTTATTATTCCAACTCACAAATCAGAAGAAAAATGCCATTACAGCAAAATGAAGCTATGCAAATAAATAAAATTCAGGTAGAACAAATCAACTGAAAGTTAAATTAATACAGTTTGAGTCAAAACAATTAATTTTGTAGCTTTACGCATGGACTATACAAATATGAGTGTGCGCTTATCCTTGTTAATAGTAATTATAAGGTGAAAATGTGGATTAATATATTTCTTTGAAAAACTATGGATATATTCTGCTTGTATTCTGGAAGACCCTGTAGCTGATCCTGCCTATGAGTTTCTTTTTGTTGTAGCCTACTATGTATTTATTTTATTAATACTACATTCATTTATTTATTTATTAAAACCATATTTAAAGCTCATTAGAAAACACACTAAACAGGCATTTTCACGTGTTTAGACATGCATTTTATTCTAATAAATTTGACTTAATTTAAGTAGCTCACCAAACCCTTCTTTGTGTAAATTAGGGCTGCAGAGCCTCTATTCAGAGCCACAGGTGCTTTTTTTGTTGTTCTCGTTGCTAGGAAACAGGTGAGTGACGCTTGGAGCACGTGCCATTCAAAGCACATCTTTTGTTTGTTTCAGGACTGCTAAAAAAAAAGGAGGGTGGTAGAAAGAAAGGGGAAAAAAAGCCAACAGTAATCCTATAATAAATGTTGGACATGTCGCAGCCTTTTAATGGTTTTAATCAATTAATGAGGCCGAATGCTGCTTCAGGAGCCCAACCAGGCAGGCAGGCCTGCAGCAGGCCCAGGATTACCTTCCATGTTTGGGTTTCATCACAAAGATAAATGCTGAAAGAGGTCATTTAGCTTATCATGACCCGCAAAACACCACTTTAAAAATGTCAGATGATTTTATTGTCCTTTTATTAAATATAGTTCTCGTCTCCCACAACAGCTAAAATTTAATTTCACCAAACTGTTTTACTCCTCTTGTAAATATACAAATTGAAATTTATAGTAAAATTAAAAACCTTAATGAAATCAAATTCAAAAAAATACTATTCAAGATATTTGTTTTTAAAATGTAAGCTAGAGGAACAGAGTTTGAAATAATCAACCTCGAAAAGTATTTCTTTTGTTTTATTTATTAAACATGCAAAACATTGAGTAATACATTAAATACTTTTTAAAAAGTATTTAATGTATTAAAAGTATTTTAAAAAGTATACATTATAATTTCTATGATTCATGTTTTTTTTTTTGTCACACTTAAACATTTTAGATGAAAAATGTTCTTACCAGACAAAGATAAGCTGGTTAAATATAAAAAGCCTTAGAGGCAAAAACTGCCAACGAGTTTCTAACGTCCCTGTTGAGATATTTTGATTGGTTTTTCTTGCAGAATTATTTTAATCCAGCCACATTGTGATTTTGAGCATCAATAGCTAATAGAAGGTCAGAAATAAGTTCCAGCCTTTGACTAGGCCTCTCCATTACTGTTTAGTCACAAACTGAACGCCAGACTTTCTGCCTCTTGGGTTTCTAGTAGAGAGCAAAATAAATGAGCTTCTCAGGTCTTAAAGCCACAAAGCAGAGCTAAACTCTATGTGTTTTGACTGTTATGTTTTTTCTCTAAATGTTGAAACATACATAACAAAAAGTCAATTTTTTTCCTATCGGTGTTGAAGTTTTTCTCTCCATAATGAGGTTTAGATGTTGTACTGGGTTGTTTCTAGACATCCTTGCCGAGTCATTGTTGAGGTTTTTGAGTAACTTCGTCAACCGACCTCTCAAGGGAAGGATTGTCATTGTTCTAGTCTATATTTTCTCAAGTTTTGGATGAGCCTTTATAACCCTTTACAGACTGAGTTTCTTATCTGTACTTGAGTTTGTTAAAGATAACGTCAGCATAACATGCAATCTTCTGGCCAATTTCATGTTGCTTGGCAAGTGATATTTAAGTGATTTCTTAATTATATAGGTTTAAAACTGCAGGGTGTGACCTTTATAAAACACATTTTTTACATATTTAAACTGTCACAATGTCATGACAGCATGGCATGAGATAGATAACATGTAAAACAAATTGAGCAGCTTTGCTTTCTCCCAATTACAACTAGAAGTGAATGTCTTAGTGTGTCAGTCCCTGTCCATGCAGCACTGCTCCCTTGCTCTATGCTACAGTATCTTCTTGATAGCAGATCCTGTTGTGAATACTCAGGCTAGTTGGCGTAGCCTCTAATGATGACAGTTTCCCTTTAACAGCAAATTGTTTCTCTGCCATTAGCACATGTAGCAGCAAGTACACATGCTGATTGACAGCACTAAGGCCTTTCTTCTGGCTCTGATTGGTTGTTTTTGGAGAGGTGCATTTCTTGAGACAGCAATAATTGCTCTGGGAGTAGGTAGAGGAAGGTGATCTGTCTCTTAACAATAATCAATCAATCATCAATCAATCAAATTTTATTTGTATAGCACATTTCAGCAACAGTGCTTTACATCAAATAAATATGTACAAAACATTTGCTTTACATACTGCAGCTTTACGTGTGGACAGTTAAATGGATTTCAGCAATCATATTTATATATATAACTGTAATGTGTTTCGGTATTCCAGTCTTCTGCTCCCTTGGCTTCAGTCCTGTGCTGGCTCTTTGGAGCCCTCTGGGATTTTGCCCCCAAAGTGGCATCTGTCAGGTGCTGCTTGGCTCTCAGCAGGCCGGTGAGCCATGTTGGCATGGCGAGGACTTTCCTCCTTAGCTGCTGCGTTGCTCGTTAAGAGGACTCCATTGTGTGAATCCTCTGAAAGAGTCGGATACCACACGTGTCTGGGAGGCAGAAATCAGATCAGGAAATGGACAGAAATATTTGACATTGACCAAATAATTATATCTTGTCAGTAACAATGCATTGCTCTATTTACTAATGTAGCATTTATTTTTTGTATTGATCCAGGAAGGAGAGGCAGTTTGTCAAAAGCTTTATTAAATTACCTCTAGTGTTCAGTGTTGAGGTATTTAGTAGGAGAATCAATTGACAGCTGATGAAGAGAATCACCGTCGTCTGGGATTCCAGGGCGACTTTGGTCGCTTCATTTACATTTTGGTCTAGAGCAGGTTGACCTTTCAGAGCTGTCAGCTTTGTGCAACTCCTGAACAGAAAAAGGGACACAACTGTGGCAAGCTTTGGCTCTGTCACGCTGTATTCCTGTTTTAGCTCCTGTTTATCACTTTCTTCCATCATTTCTGGCTGCTAGCGGATTATGTTTGTTGAATTTCATTAAAGTGAAAACAGCAAACATAATAATTAAGATGGCTGTATATTAAATATAAGAAGCAATAAGAATGAAGTTTTCTGATGTTGGACTCACAGCCCTAGTTTAAGGAAAAGTAAATAAGATATTAATTTTTCAACATATTTTGGAATCTGTTGGATCACATCAGTTTTCTCTTGAAGAATCCATATCCTCCTTCAGTCAGTCAGAGTTAAAACCTGCAACAGACAAAACATACAAATCAGAACTATTGTTACATTATTTGTATCTGTAAGTTGTATGAGAACATGTTTGAACATAAAAGGAAAGAAAGGGGAGCAAGAGAAAAAAATTGAGGCGGCAAATGATTGAAAACATTTTCCAACCTCAGAGTTGGTAAATGTCTAAAGGAGTAAATGATGGAGTTTATTGCAACAGTAAATATTGTCTTTTCAGAGATCTATTGCAGCTCACCTTTGCACAGCGCTGTGTGTTAAAGATGTGCAGAGTTATAGATTATTCTAAGTTCAAATCATGCATTTCAGTGTTTTTAATCTTCATATTGGATCCATTAAGCTACTGAAGCCCATCAATAATTTTTCATTAAATAATTCTGCAAAATGCAGCATGAACAGATAGTAACTATAGCGATATCTTATTCACTTAATGTATTTTTGATTTTCAATGAATGTTATCAGACTTGTTTATTGTGTGGCGTGGCTATTGGTTAGTTTGTCTGTACTGCAGGTATCTGATATCTCATTGGTCAGGTTTATAACCCAGATAGCAATGCCTCCACTTGAGCACTGAATGTATTCTGTAACCATTCAGTAGCACCTTGTCCATCTGACCGTTTGTCTATCCATATATTCCTATTGATCTGACATTATGCAGTCACATGAATACCTCACAGCTCCTCTAAAAGCACTTATAACTGTTTTAACAGTTCCAAAAACCAAGTATACTTTAATATTAATCCATATGCACAGTTGAAACTCTTAGCTCTCCCACATAGGTTACCATCGAAGGTGTTCCTTATCCTGTGGACTCAGCCAATTGAGGATACCTCTTATTTTGAATCGGTTGCTTTCCACACATCAGCCAATTTCAGTTGAATTCACTTAAAATATTTTAGATATGTCAAATGACAAAAAATATAGATATAAAAATAGATAAATTTACGAATTTTCCACAGTTAATTTGGAGTTATTTTTCACAGAATACTTAATTGAGAACAGGTGCAGGTCCGCTGCATACACTCCAATGAGGCTTGTTTCTGATTAAAAGTACTTTTTAAAAACAACCTTTATTCAGGTATTAAGAATAATTTTAAGTTACCCCACATTCCTGTAATGAAATATTTTTTTCAGTGGTCTGATGTAATATTCTGATCTTAAATGTCTTGTTTTCATTACCTGTAAGTGAGAAATAATCATAATTAACAAAAATAAAGGCTGAAAAACATCAGTCTGCATGTAATTAATTTGTATAATGCATTTCACTTATTGAAATGAGCGACTGAAATTGATTGACTTTAATGATATTCCAATTTGACTGCATAATGTCATACCAACTCTCTTTTGGAAGTTGCAAGGAATATTTTTGATGAATCCACAGCAAAGTTTTTACTATGTGGAAAGTTTTGCATTTTATTTTTTTTGGTAGCAAATAGTTTTAATGTGTATTAATTGTAAAGATGAAAGGTTTTCATTTTCAGCGCCTTGCAGAAAGTTCTCTTGTTTCTGTCTAATTTCTAATTAAAAATAGATCTGTGTTGGACGGTCTCTGGAACTCGCTCCATTAGGCCTGAGAACACACAGGGGCCTAATCCAATCAACGGCATTTCTCCTGTGCAGCAGCTGACACTTTGTTGGTTTTAGGCTCTCTGTCACAGCAAGCTGTCAGCTCCACTGCAGCTCCACAGCACTGACAGAGCAGATATAGGCAAACAGGATAGTATGAATGTGCAACCGTGAGCTCTGACATGTTAAAAGGTTTAGAAAAACAGTTAAATTGATTCAACACTGGGTTCCTGGGTTACTGAAGGTTTCTTGGCATAAGAGCTAACAAGACAGAGACAACATGGCTGTTTTTTTTTATTTGACAGCCACAGAATGAGGACAATGTTTATTTTTTTGTTTGTTTTTTTTACCGTAGGATGTAGCATACAGTATGGGCGATGCTTCAAATGTTGTACGCAGTCATTATTATCAAAGCAACGTGAACATGCGTTTCAATTTTCTGAGAAGCTCCATGTGAAATTGATCTGCATGAGGTTTACCCTTTAAAACTGAAACAGAAATCAGTTGACTAATTAGTCTAAGTCTAATTAATTGAGATTCAACTTTGAAAATTGTAACTTGACTTCTTTGATGTTTTTATTAATAAATTAGCCTGTTAGCACCGACCTGCTCCAGCCATCAACACAAAGACTGACATCCTCCTTCTGTCTATTTTACGCTATTCCAGGTGTCAGACTAAAATGGCCTGGTGTACAAGTGCTACAAAGCATTAGCACTCCTCATTTAATTATCACACATCCTCCTTTGATTGATGTCTAATGAATGGCTAGGATTGTGGTGAGAAGACTTGTTAATGGCTTTTGCTTGTCTGTCAGACATTTGAGGCTGCACTCAGAAATCTTTGCTTAAACCGAAGCTCCAAAACTGTGTTTCTTATGGAGAAAATACATAATAGTTTTCTTGCTGGACAAAACACCATCATTAGGACCAGTGGGTTTTTCTATCCAGATGTTGAGAGGTATTTGTTTATTTTTTTTGATAATGTGCTTCCTTAACCTAAATCATTTTCAAGTAAAGGGTTACAATTTGCTGCAGATAACTCCCTTGTTGTTTTCATTTAGTATAAATCCAGATTAGTTTGCTGCAGAAGAGGAAGCTAACAGCTAATCAGGGAGCGGCCAAGACCAAAATGAACTTGTACGTTTCTTATTACCCCGATCTCAAAACTGGTATCGCAGTTTATGCAATAATTATTTTTGAAACAGGAATTATAGATGTTTATTATTAAATATGTATATTTTTTCTTGTTACCAAATTTTTCTAGCCCAAATTCATAATCAGTAACTGAACTAAACACAAATTTTCCCTAAGTTGTTATGAATAGCACTTGTATTTATTATTTTCTTTTGATTTATTGTGATCTAATTGGGGGTCATCAATCAAGTAAAAACCAGATTGGAAAGAATAAAAGCAGTTGGTCATTATGAGAAAACTATTTAATTGTTTACACACAGTTTTTCTCAATAACTTTGCTGATGAGTGGGAGGTCAGAGGCCGGCCTGTAATTCTGCAGTAGTGATTTGTAGGTCTGTCACGATAACAGATTTTGCTGGACGATAAATTGTCTCAAAAATTATTGCGATAAACGATATTGTTTGAAGACCTTTTTACATTGATTTAATGGAAATTACGTAATAATACATTTTACTTTCAAGACACTTAACATTGGGACTGATACACAAAATAAATAAAACAACCAAAACCAAAAATAAAATAGATTCTTAGTCTCCATTAACAATAAATGTACTTGAATAAAAACTAAACAACATGAAGCCAAAGTGGAAATAAATACTGCATTCAACCAAAAGAGTGCAGATTATGAAATCTGTATAGTATATTGCCCTTCAGTAATCATTAGATTTAAATAGAATCCGACTGCCTGATGCAATAGTTCAAACTACAGGATCTTTTTTACCCCGAACGTTATTCTTATTCTAAGAACACGACATAGCAGATAATTAAAATGAGGTCAATAGTTTTAACTTATCGTGTGATTAATTGACTTATCGTTTATCGCGACAGGCCTAGCAGGTTGTTCTTTTTTAGCAGTGGTTTGATGACTGCTGTTTTCAAAGCCTGGGGGAAAACACCTGATGTGAGCGATGAGTTTACGATTTGGATGAGATCAGTAGCAATAACAGGCAGGACTTTCTTAAAGAAATGTGCGGGTAGGACACCCAGACAGCAGGAGCTTGAACTTATTTGACTTATAATTTCTTCTAGGATTTTATGATTAAGTATTTGAAAGTGGGTCATTTTTCCTGTATTTGTTTTGTTTGGGTCCAGCAATGGTTCTGGCTTTAGAGTTGACGTGCAGATTAATCTCTGAAAAAAAGTTGGAAAACTTGTTCCAGACAGCATTCGATTGGAGTTCAGGTGGTAACGTCACAGGAGGGTTTGTGAGCCTGTCAACTGTTGAAAAGGAAGCTCAAGCTTTGTTGATGTTTTTGTTTATGACATCTGCAAAGAAAGCCTCTCTTGCATGTTTTAGTGTTGAGTGATAGTTACATAGTCTTTCTTTATAGGTGTCATTATAAACGTGAAGTTGAGTTTTACGCCATTTTTGTTCTGCTCTGCAGTCATTGAGACTAAAACTATTTTGCCCACATACAGGCGGGTTTAAGAAAGTGACTAAATCTTACAGTGGAGTTTTTCTTACTATCACAAATTCTAAGAAAATAAACCAGAGGTTTTTTAGAGCCTGTCAAAAGTTTTTCATGATACTTTGTTTTTCATCATCATGAAGCTGATTGCTCTTTCCATTTAAGCTGTTCTCTAATCATCTGATACTTTAATATTTTCTTTTAAACATTAAGAAAAGACAAGACCAAACATCTTTCTGGTTTTGGCTTTAGTGAAGCAGACTGTTATTTTCCGTACTTTTTAATGTTTTTTTTCTCCCCTTTTCTAATCAACTGTCTGACCAAACTTTGCTGTTCTAATCAGCATTTTATGGAATCAGACCATTTTAGACAGATTTTCAGAGAGGAATGCAACATTTATATTTGCCAAACCTTGCATGGTAGAGAACTTTCCTATAATTTCATACACAGCATAAAATTATAGAATTGTTGCAAAAAACTCAACTGACTTGGTATTTGTGCAAGAGCTAAATTAGTTTTCCTTTCTAAGAATGCGACACTTAAGATATCACTCTTAACAAAGCAGTTTTGACCTTTAGCACTCAAATCTTTATTCCTAATCGCTGCTCCATCTGTTACACGCAGGTCAAACACTAATGATGCTACAGCTACATTTAATCTGTGCTCCTCCCTGCTACCACTGCTGCACACACACATTTAATTTAATTAGAGCTTGTGTGTCCTCCTCTCTGCCAGTTTTGCTGCGGCGCTTGGGAGCAGCCAACACTATCACTGATTGCTTCTAGATAGGAAGGAATATGATTAGACCACGTGTTGGGGTGTCTGTGTGTATAGGAACTGGGCAGACATCTGATGGTGTTTGTTAGTGGTGAGAAACGAAGCAGGCTGAAGGATGAGGAGAGGGTTGGATAAAAACGAAAAAGAATATTTCCATCGTAAATGTTGCTTCTTTGTCCAGAGTGCAGAAACTCTTTAGGATGACTTGCAGTTGCTGAACTGAGCTACTTTCTTCAACCATGGTGTCTTCTTCTGAAAATTTTTAAATAATAGAAATAATAAATATATATTTGCATTTTTGAATGACTCAAATAGAAAGTGCTTTAAAGTAGTTCAAATTGAAAGGGCTGAACGTGGCTCATTAAGCAAAGAAAATAACTTTATTGTCCACCTTACCAAAAGAGTAAGGTGGTTAGGATGCATCACAGTCTGAACATGGCGAAGTTTGTGTTTCTTTAACTTTTAATTTCACTTGCGTTGACTTAATTGAAACCTGAGGATGACGACAAGTTTACATCAGAACAGAAAAAAGAACCTTAAGCTGTTATGAGTTTGATTTCCAAATACACAGAAGATAAACCTGAAAGCTTTGATTCTTTGTGTAATAAGATTAGTGTTATTAAAGAGAGGAGGGAGGTAGAGGAAAGGGAGAAGAATAAAGATGTGACCTTTAAAGAGCAAGGTGAGCAGAGAGGGAGGAACCCTGCTGAGGAGTGGCCAGAAGAAGAAAAAGAGAGACACAGAACTGGGTGGGGAGCAACCCTGGAGAAAACAGATTAGTGGACCATGAAGTGGATTACCAGCAATGATAGTCCCTCAGAGAGCGGTCGGTCCAGGCCAGCGCAAACACTCCATAATCAAAGCGATCTGTATCAGTCTAACCTGTCGGTCTAACGCAAACATAGCTGATTGATAGCAGTGGGCTCGTTTTTCAAAACGTTAAAACGCAATTAGTTGTTTAGGTCAAGTTTAAACCACAAGTAGTTTGAATTATCTATACCATATTAAACAATGGCAAAATTGTGTTTTCTTGTCTAATTGTTGCCTATTGGCAACATTGTACAATTTTGGAAGAACCTATTGAAATTGATTAGTCAAATAACCATTTTTGTAATTCGATTTTTTTTTTCACAATTTAATCAAGATAATGTAATGTTGATTCCTGGAAAGTTCATTGTCTACTATCTCACTATCCATCTTAAAATTTCCACACATTTTCTTCCATTTTGATGAACTCAGTCTCTGTTTTTAGCCACTTTAAGGAAAAAGAAAGTAGAAATCACATTGCTAGGTCAACATACGTGGGAAGCTGCAACATTTTGTGTATCAAATAAACAATAAAAATTTGTTTTTCTTATTTTTCTTTTCTCAGATTCTCTGCTAACAACCGTCAAACGATCCTAGAAGCTAAGAGAAGGAAACTGGCAACAATGAAGGGTCAGCTTCTTCGACAGGTGAGTAAAGATTAGAAAATATTAGACATGACACCCCAACAACAGTATGACATTGAAACTAATGAGTAGTCCTGACTGATTCTTCTCAACTATGACAAATTAAATGAGGAATTAGATTTTAGACAGAATTAGATTTCTGATAAAAGATAAAAAAAATTTGAGATTCCTAACTTTTTTCCTGTAATCCTCTTCTGTAGATTTTAACTTGTGTTTTAACAAAAAATGTACATATGGTTCTAGTGACACAACAGTCTTACTTTTATGCTTGTTTTTCTTAGTTTTAGGCTTGCTAAGCAGACACCTCTGTGTGTGTAGCTGGTGCCGCTGGCCAAGAACAGCTAATCCCATTTAACACAAACATTACAACGGCTAAGTTTTACTGACACATCTAAAAATTGTTCTGTGGACCAAAATGTTCGGTCAGCTGAAGCAAAGAAACACGAGCTGGATTCTTTCTGGTCTTTCCTAAATTTTCACTCTACTTATTTACAGCTGAAATGCGTAGATGTTTTTTTTCAGTAGCTATTGTAGAGGATTTTCCTCCAAAGAATAAATCGAAGAATTTTTGTTTCAAGCTGGAAATTCCTGTAAAGGTCAAATTGGTCTCTAACAAGCACACACACAAATCAATAAGCAAATGAAATGATAAAAGACTCTAAAGCCTTCCTTCTTGCTGACATTTCTGTCTTGCCTGCTGAGGGGAAGTTTTGATACGAAGGCCCCCCCTAGGTGGAGGATGGGGGTCCACTCTTTCTCTGTCTTCCCCTTCCACTCAGCCTAAATGAGGGCTTTTTCGCAGCTGTTGGTGGGGGGTGTCTGCTCCAGGAAGAATGAGGACTTCCTGTGGAGGGCCTTTAAGAGCGGGGCTGAAGGGTCTATCGCACGCTCACTCTCTCTCTCCCACAGTTTGTCTCGATGTCTCTCGCCCGTCCTAAATGGGGTCAAGCTTCAAACCAGGACCAGCTGCTTTCAAAGACCCTAAAGAGCAGTTTTCCACCTGCCCTTTTCTCCCCTCTCTCCATAACCTTTTCATCACATTTTCTTGTTCGCTTTTCATTTCTCTCTCCGCTTCCTTTCTGTCCGATCGACAGCGATGCATCCATGCCCTTGTTTACGAAAGGGACAATATTTCTGAGATGATTAAGAAAACAGAGACAACTTAGAGTGCTGAGAAAAATGTGATTTATTTTATGTCTGCTACTTTGTCACATTTAGATGTTTCAGATCTGAAAAGCAGTTGGATTGTTTTGGCAAAATGAAGGCAGAAAAAACACTATTAGCACTTCCAAATGGCATGCAATAAATCATAAACATGCAATGTTTATGGTTCATTTGAATTGGATTTTTGTTCAGACTATTACAAAACTTCATTTTTGTATTATTCAGAGGCAGCCTTGCCTGAATGCTTTGGATCACTATCCTGTTTATTGAAACACAGGGTGAATGGGGGTAAGCTCCAGTATTGCAAGAAAAGCAGGCCCTAATCATACTACCACCGCCATGTTTTAGTTGAAATGCAACATGACTAACATTTTTATAACGGGACTGTTTTCTCTTTATTTTACAGAATATTTTCTGGGAATTTCTGGGATCATCTGTTTTTCGGCAAGGGTGAGTTTGAAGATTATGGTCTTTCAGCATTAGGAGAAATTGATTGAAATAGATTGTGACTTGGCTTATGAAATTGAGCTCAGATTCCTAAAGCTTGTAGTTAATTCAGTCAGTGTGTTTTGTATTAAAGTAAGTTGCATAATCTGAAATATTTGTGACTAGAAGAGGAAAAAAAGTAAGGACCAAATACAGCAGGCGGAAAGTGGGAGGGAGGAACTTAGCAGGTGGAGAGTGGAGGGGTGGAGCGCTCAAACCGCCCGCCCGCCTGCCGCAAGCCAGCCGTGTCCACCCTGCCTGCAAGCCTACCTGTCCGCCAGGCCCATTGCTTAATTTAGGAGGTAGGTACCTCTTCTACCTTATATATCTCCTTTACTTCATTTATTTCCTTTACACTTTCCACTTCATTTATCTCCTTTTTCCTCTTTAGCTCTTCTACCTCCTTGACCTCTTTTAGGTCCTTTACTTTATTTAGTTCCTTTACCTTTTCTAACTCCTTTACCTCTTTTACTTTCTTTACGTCTTCTACCTCCTTGACCTCTTTTAGGTTCTTTACCTCTTTTAGTCCATTTACCTTTTCTACCTCCTTTACCTCCTTTAACTCTTAGGTTCTTTACCTCTTTAATCCCTTTACCTCTTCTACCTCTTTTACCTCTTAGGTTATTTACCTCTTTTAGGTTCTTTACGTCTTCTACCTCATTTACCTCTTTTAGGTTCTTTACCACTTTTCCTTTCCTTGCTTCTTCTACCTCGTTTACCTCTTAGGTTCTTTACCTCTTTAATCCCTTTACCTCTTCTACCTCTTAGGTTATTTACCTCTTTTAGGTTCTTTACGTCTTCTACCTCATTTACCTCTTTTAGGTTCTTTACCACTTTTCCTTTCCTTGCCTCTTCTACCTCGTTTACCTCTTAGGTTCTTTACCTCTTTTCGTCCCTTTACCTCTTCTACCTCCTTGGCCTCTTTTAGGTCCTTTACCACTTTTACTTTCTTTGCCTCTTCTACCTCGTTTAACTCTTAGGTTCTTTACCTCTTTTAGTCCCTTTACCTTTTCTACCTCCTTGACCTCTTTTACTTTCTTTACCTCTTCTACCTCCTTTACCTCTTTTAGGTTCTTGACCTCTTTTAGTCTATTTACCTCTTCTACCTCCTTCACCTTTTAGGTTATTTACCTCTTTTAGGTTATTTACCTCTTTTACTTTCCTTGCCTCTTCTACCTCGTTTACCTTTTAGGTGCTTTACCTCTTTTCGTCCATTTACTTCTTCTACCTCCTTGGCCTCTTTTAGGTCCTTTACTTCATTTGGTTCCTTTACCTCTTCTACCTCTTTTACCTCTTAGGTTATTTACCTCTTTTAGGTTCTTTACCACTTTTCCTTTCCTTGCCTCTTCTACCTCGTTTACCTCTTAGGTTCTTTATCTCTACCTCTTGACCTCTTTTAGGTTCTTTACCTCTTGTAGGTTCTTTATCTCTTTTTGTCCCTTTACCTCTTCGACCTCTTTTGGGTTCTTTACCGCATTTGGTTCCTTTACCTTTTCTACCTCCTTTACTCTTAGGTTATTTACCTCTTTAATCCCTTGACCTCCTTGACCTTTTAGGTCCTTTACCACTTCTACTTTCCTTGCCTCTTCTACCTTGTTTACCTCTTAGGTTCTTTACCTCTTTTCGTCCCTTTACCTCTTCTACCTCTTTTACCTCTTAGGTTATTTACCTCTTTTAGGTTCTTTACGTCTTCTACCTCATTTAACTCTTAGGTCCTTTACCTCTTTTAGTCCATTTACCTTTTCTACCTCCTTTACCTCCTTACCTCTTAGGTTATTTACCTCTTTAATCCCTTGACCTCCTTGACCTCTTTTAGGTCCTTTACCACTTCTACTTTCCTTGCCTCTTCTACCTTGTTTACCTCTTAGGTTCTTTACCTCTTTTCGTCCCTTTACCTCTTCTACCTCTTTTACCTCTTAGGTTATTTACCTCTTTTAGGTTCTTTACGTCTTCTACCTCATTTAACTCTTAGGTCCTTTACCTCTTTTAGGTTCTTTACCTCTTTTACCTCCTTGGCCTCTTTAGGTCCTTTATCACTTTTACTTTCTTTGCCTGTTCTACCTCGTTTACCTCTTAGGTTCTTTACCTCTTTTACCTCCTTGGCCTCTTTAGGTCCTTTATCACTTTTACTTTCTTTGCCTGTTCTACCTCGTTTACCTCTTAGGTTCTTTACCTCTTTTATGTTCTTTACCTCTTTTCGTCCCTTTACCTTTTCTACCTCCTTTACCTCTTGTAGGTTCTTTATCTCTTTTTGTCCCTTTACCTCTTCGATCTCTTTTGGGTTCTTTACCTCATTTGATTCTCACTTGGTTTAGAACGTAAAAGAACCAAATGAAGTAAAGAGTGTTAGAATCCAGAAAAGAAAGTGTTAGAATCTAGAAAAGAAAGTGTTAGAATCTAGAAAAGAAAGTGTTAGAATCTAGAAAAGAAACTGAGAATCTAGAAAAGAGTGTTAGAATCTAGAAAAGAAAGTGTGAGAATCTAGAAAAGAGTGTTAGAATCTAGAAAAGAAAGTGTGAGAATCTAGAAAAGAAACTGTGAATCTAGAAAAGAAACTGTGAGAATCTAGAAAAGAGTGTTAGAATCTAGAAAAGAAACTGAATCTAGAAAAGAGTGTTAGAATCTAGAAAAGAAACTGAGAATCTAGAAAAGAAAGTGTGAGAATCTAGAAAAGAAACTGAGAATCTAGAAAAGAAACTGAGAATCTAGAAAAGAAAGTGTGAGAATCTAGAAAAGAAAGTGTGAGAATCTAGAAAAGAAAGTGTGAGAATCTAGAAAAGAAACTGAGAATCTAGAAAAGAAAGTCTGAGAATCTAGAAAAGAAACTGTGAATCTAGAAAAGAAACTGTGAGAATCTAGAAAAGAAAGTGTGAGAATCTAGAAAAGAGTGTTAGAATCTAGAAAAGAAAGTGAGAGAATCTAGAAAAGAAACTGAGAATCTAGAAAAGAAAGTGAGAATCTAGAAAAGAAAGTGTGAGAATCTAGAAAAGAGTGTGTGAGGATCTAGAAAAGAAAGTGTTAGAATCTAGAAAAGACAGTGAGAATCTAGAAAAGAAAGTGTTAGAATCTAGAAAAGAAAGTAAGAGAATCTAGGAAAAACAAACAAAATACCTATCTACCTACCTAACTATCTGCCTCACTAACTAACTTACCAGCTTTAGACTGAGAATCTATATAAACAAACACATCTACCTAAATGCCTCAGTACTATCTACATACTTACTTACCTAACTTACTACTAACTATCCATCTCCCTACCTCACTATCTAACTATCTACATACCTCACTAACAACTTACTACCTACCTCTTTATCTACCTACTTAACTAACTAACTAACTAACTAACTAATTACCACTACCAACTTACTACCTACCTCACTATCTACCTTCCTACCTAGATACTTACCTATGTACCTACCTACCTAACAAGTGTTAGGTAGGTAGGTGAGAGATGCAAAGTATGCTGCTGTTTTCTCTTTGTTCATCCATATGAACAAAGAGAAAACAGCAGCATACTTTGCATCTCTCATTACAAGCAAACACAAAAAGAGCCACTGAGTCAACCCACAGAGGTTCAACACTCAGAAAAACACATGCAGCAGAAAACAGAGTAGATAAAGAGGCTGGTAGACATCTCTGGATTCAGCATCATCAGTTTGACATCAGCTGCTATTGTTTCTCTATGACCTGAAGAGAAAGAACAGCTGTTCAGCACACAAGCATCAGAAAGTCAAAGCCTGACGTCATGAGGCAGAGAAAAGGCCATTAGTAAAGAACAGTAGCAGCACAGAAATGCATATTTTGTTTGAATAGTTATGTCGAAATGAGGTGTTTTTATTGAACCTGGACAAATATACTTATTAAAAAAATTCAAATCAATTTGTTTTTTGTGAATTTATTTTAAAGTTTTCTCTTATTATTCTATTTTATGATGTTCCGTCTGAGACTGTACTGCTCTTCACTTCCAATTCTCCAGCCTCATCACACTGACCACTAAGGCTCCTATTATCTTGTCTACACCTGTGATCAGAATAAATGCACAGTCCCAGCTAATGGCAAGCCCCCCGGCTGACCTGCTCACCCACATCATCACCAAGAAGATAGAAGCACATCGCAGAAGCTGAACAATAAGATGGTAATGGAGAGTTCAAGAGCAAGACAGGAGGACGACAAGAGGAGATAAGAGGTTAAAGGAAGTGAACTGTAGAGTTTGTGTTGGGTATAAAGGGAAGTAGTAAAAACTAAATTGGATTGGGAATAAAGAGCTAACATTTCCATCCATATGACTAATATATTTAAGTATGAAATAAAGCTGCCAGGTATGTGGAAATATCTTGGTGCACTGGAAATATCTTGGTGCACTGGAAATGACAACGCTAACTTGCAAGAAGCTTTTAAGCAAATTATAGTAATTTGTTTTGAGTAAATGATTCCTTCATATTGATCAAAGTACTTGTTCCATTGGCAAATTATTTCACTCATAAGACATTTTTCCCACTAGTAAAATCATCTGCCAAAGGAACTTGTACTTTAGTATATTGTAGCTCATCAAATAGATCTGATTCTAACAGGATAACCAAGATAAATACAAGCTGTTTTCACATTGTTGAATTAAATGTGAATAACCACATTTTTTGGTTACGTTTCAACAAACACACTCATGCCTCCTCATTACCAGACATGGAGACACTGGGGAAAAAAACAACAACGAAAACTTTATTTTCTAAATCCTATTTCTCTCCCAGACTCCTGAGAAAATATTTGGAAAGTTAACATCTTGTTGCATCTGGTGTAAAACAAGTAAAGCGTTTCAGAAAAACAATACAAACATGGTGGGGATGGTGAGATCATCAGCTTCAGGATGCTATGTTATTCCACTGCCTGGAATACACAAGTCCAAATTTCAACTCTTTTCTACATCTATACCTAAATCTTTCACTTCATCAAATATAAACAATATTTCTTACCTTTTCGGAAAATTCATCTGCCGACATCTGATGTTTTCTCTGAAAAACAAAAATGACAGACAGTCAATGTGACAGGTGAAATATCTCAAGGTGCAAAGCAGATCACAAGCAGCGTAAAGATGAACATTTGAAGAAACCAGTTTGGATATTTCTTCCTGCATCATAAGCTTAGAAGTAAAAATTATTTGCGGCGTTTAAGAAATGTATGTTGCTCTTCTTACTTGCTTCATAATTAACTACATTTTCCAGGCATCAGTAAGCATTCAATCATCTCTAATTCACTTCAACTCTGTAACAGCAGTTAAACCTCAACAAAAACTTGAGAAGGTTTCAAAGATGAAGCTCAAGCAAAGGTCCATGTGTTCAAGAGCTGCAGCTGTTAAACCATAGTTTCCTTTCTGAACGTCTCAATTCAACTCAAACTTCTTTTACCAAGTAACTACAGGAATAGAGAAACTCTGAGCCTGCACTGCTTTTCTTCTGCTGTCTCTGAATCCAGAAAAGAAAGTGTGAGAATCTAGAAAAGAAAGTGTGAGAATCTAGAAAAGAAGATAAAAAAGAACGTGTGAGAATCTAGAAAAGAAAGTGAGAATCTAGAAAAGAAAGTGAGAATCTAGAAAAGAAAGTGTGAGAATCTAGAAAAGAAAGTGTGAGAATCTAGAAAAGAAACTGTGAGAATCTAGAAAAGAAAGTGTGAGAATCTAGAAAAGAAAGTGTGAGAATCTAGAAAAGAAAGTGTGAGAATCAAGAAAAAAGTGAGAATCTAGAAAAGAAAGTGTGAGAATCAAGAAAAGAAAGTGTGAGAATCTAGAAAAGAAGATAAAGAAAGTGTGAGAATCTAGAAAAGAAAGTGAGAATCTAACTACAGGAATAGAGAAACTCTGAGCCTGCACTGCTTTTCTTCTGCTGTCTCTGCCTTCGGCCTCAGGACTAATGAGAACATTCACCTCCATACATTCAGAGTGAATCGGTTCACACGCTTCATGCCTCAAGGCCACATATTTATACTGTGAGTGAAATGAGGCCATTATAATTGGTGTTAAATATGACACAAAACAGAAGATTATATATATATATCTGCATATACAAAGTCAAACCCCACTTGGAAATAAAGATCAGATTTGTATTGTCCCTGACCTAAATCCTATCAAAGATCTGCTTTAACAACGAAACCATAGAGACACTTTTATGTGGTTAAGTTCCCCAGTTTGGGCAATTTATCCTAATAAACTCTTAACATTTTGACAAATGAAAAAGTGATTTATTGTTGCTAGAACTTAATTGCTGGAGTCAATAAGTCACATTTCCTTACTGCAGACTATGAGGATATTTTAAATCTTCAATTGTCTAAGTTACAAAAATGTATTATGAATCACCTTTTTCATTTTTGTCATTACCTTCTATAAAACTTCCTTTCTTTTAAAAATCTGCAGATTAACAACTTCAGTAGACACTAAAAAATGTGTGCAAAGTACAAAGAAATGCAACACAGATTTTTTTTTCCTGGCCTTTTCCTCAAACACACACACACACACACACACACGAATTTGGTGTGGGAGCAACAAAGAGGCCAAGAGGAGGCGACGGTTATCAGCTGCTGTAGGAAATTAAAGGGACGGTCCGCGGTTAATATGCAGATATGCAGATGGGTTGACGGAGCCCTCTCTTGGTTTCTGTCAGTTGTGTGCCAACCCCCCAGCCCACCCAACACACACACCTACAGGCAGGTAGAGTGTGAGGAGACAGTGTGTGTCAGTGTGCAACAGCAGATGGGATGAGCAGGTTGATTAATCTCTGTGACATGAATACCAAATCAGAAGCTGAAAAGTGTGAGTGAATACAGATAGGGATGATTGAGGCTGTGAAGATAATGACAATGATGGCGGGTGTGTGAGCGCGTACATGTGATGCAAACATCCCCTCTACATTCGATTAGATCACGTTCTGGACTGAACGCGCTGGTTCTTCAACGTCTGAGTTTCAGATTCTCACTGAAATTATTAGGAGATATGAAACCGCAGTCAGTTCAGCTGATCAACTCTGATCTGCAAAAACTACATTGTTTTCCTTTGCAGTTTTCCAAACTGCAAAAGAAACAAAGTTTGAATATACAGCTCTGGAAAAAAAATAAACTATTTCACTTTTTATAGGCATATATTTGATTAAATGAACATTGTTCTTTTATTTTATAAACTACTGACATGTATCTGAAATTTCAAGGAAAAATTTTGTATTTGTAGAAAATGAGAAATGGTCAAAATAACGAAAAAGATGCAGTACTTTCATACCCCAAATAACGGAAAGACAACAAGTACATATTCATTTAGGAACAACAATACTGGCGTTTTAACTCCGTAAGAGTTCAGAAATCAAAATTTGGGCTGTTCATTTTTTTCCAGAGCTGTAAACATATAAAATGTTTTGTTAGTCCATGATCCACTCGATGTGAATTTTCCAAAGCTTTTTAACTCTTAA